GGCGGCGCTCCCGCCGAGGGTTCGGATCCCACATACAGACCGGTTCCCGCTCACTGGCTGAGCGAGGTGCGGGGGCAACACCGAGGGTTGCGATCCCATTGCCGGTCCTGGTCCGGTACGGGGGCGACACTGAGGGTTGCGATCCGTTGCTGGACACGGAAAAAGACAAAAAAAAAAAAAATCCTCCATGAATATACAAGTATGAGTGATAAGAAGCCTCTTCTACAAAACTAATTCATATAAAATGAAAGTAACTCAAGGACTAAAAATGTTTTTTTAAAAATGAGGTGTCAGGGCCGGCCCATGGCTCACTTGGGAGAGCGTGGTGCTGACAACACCATGTCAAGGGTTAAGATCCCCTTACCAGTCATCTTTAAAAAAAAAAAAAATGAGGTGTAAGATTTACAAATAGTTTTATCATGTCTCCTATGCTGAGTGATCCCTCCCTCCAGCATCCTGGAATCCCAGGGTGGGGCAGTGACTTTGTGGAGACAGCAAGCAGCTGGTAACAAAATAATAATACTAACAATTGAAACTCATACACAACCAACTTCTGTCCCCTGTTTCTTCGATCCCCAAGGCACAGTTGTAGGGACAGCTCTATCGCACTTCTGCACTTACCCCTTGGACCACATGTTGTCTCCTTGTGATTTTTCCCTCTGCAGGTGGCTCTGGATGTTTTCACGTTTAGGAGAAAGGGATTTGGAAAGCAAATAAAAATAATTTTAAACTGGCCCTTCCTGCCTTCCTAGAAATGGCAAGAATTAAAGTTGGGATAGACTCAAGGGTGGGGTGACTAACTGTTCCAATTTGCCCAGAACTGTCTCAGTTTTAGCACTGAACGTCCTGCATCTAAAAAATCCCTCAACCCTGAGCAAAACAGGATGATTGGTCACCCTATAGCTTAGTCGGACCTTAATAGCTATAAGCTATGTCTGACCTTGTGATGCAACACAGTTCTTTCCTTCCTGAAAGTGTGGTCAGCCCCATTAAAGTATGTGTTCAGTTTCCAAGCCCTACTTAACCACCCCACTCCTCATCCTAGGAGCTGGGGGTTTTTTTCACTGTCCAGACAGAGAAGCTGTACTCAGAAATTTCTAGGCATGAGTTGACATTGGATTCCTTATCCTTGTGCTCCCATAATTTCCTATTCAGCCTCAGCTACCACCTAAACCAAATCCACCCATGACCTCAATCCACAGCACATGCTGCCACTTCTGTCCAGGCCTCACCAGCAAGCTGGTAGGGCCTGGGGGTGGAAGTCAGATTATCAAAGAGGGAAAGAGGGGAACTCATCTGAGTTGTGATGTGCTCTAACAGCAAACAAATCACAAGAAAGGGGAACCCCAGATAAATTACAGCCTGTTGACCTTGGAAGATGTGTGATTGGCTTCTCTGCATTAGAGAAACACAGGAAATGCTTACTAGCCAGTCAATTTCAGAGTTTTGGGCCTAAAGCTGGGCTGACTCACCTTCAGAGTAGAAATCAGGGGAAACCCTCCTATCAAGGTTCACATCATATACTCTTCCAGAAGCGACAATGTTTGGAACACTCACAGATATTGAGAAATCTCACAAATCATTTCTGCCAGTTATGAGAGACTGCTCTGAAATTACGAGGAAGAGTCAAAGACAATGCCAAGACCAAATCTCACAAATCATTTCTGCCAGTTATGAGAGACTGCTCTGAAATTACGAGGAAGAGTCAATGCCAAGACCGGAGTCAAAGACAATGCCAAGACCAACATTAAACTTGGCTTGGACCCTTGTTACAGAATTTTCCTGCCTGACAAGTTTAAACGAACAATAAGCAGGAGACACAATCCTCCAGGAATAATCCCTATTTGGCCCGTGGTCACCTCGACTGCTTGAGTACAGAGGAAAATGCAGAATTTTAAAGAAGCTATTTAGGTAACGTCGATGAGCCTCCACACACGCATCCTTACCTGAACAACTTAGTAGTAGTTAGCAGTTGTAACTGTTACTAGCAATTGTTGTTATTGTTTCCCTTTTTGACTGAATTTTCTGGGAAATTGCCTTAGACCCCAAAGAAAGATTACTGTTAACATTTCCAAGGCCTAAAATATTTGATCCCTGAAACAGCCCTTTCTCAGTCCCTCCCACAGGGCTCAGCCTGCCTGAAGGCTGTTGCAAGATTGCATCAGGGACCTTTGCAATTTTCTGGCCAGACTGAGTTCCCCTTCCTCCCGCTGCCCTCTCCCTTTCCCTGCTTAAAGCCCTTTGGCCTATTTCCCTCTCCTTTTCTCCTACTTAGATAACTATGATATATCTATAACTAAAGTTAAATGAGAACCCACAGCACTACCCCCAGGCAATTCTGCTTAATCCTAGTCAAAATCAATCCTATATCCCCATGCTTCCAAGAGCACGCTCCACTCTTTGGCTTCTTACCCAACTGTCTACTTCACATCCTTTTGCCCAGAAACTGCTTCTATGATAAAACTGAGCTGGCACGGTGAAGTTGTGCCCCCAGATCCAGGGAACTGGCAAAGAATTATTGAGGAGAGCATGAAATATTTCCATTCTAGACCAGCAGAAAAAATTTTACCAACAGCCTCTTCCATGCTTGCTTCCCCCAGTCCCCACTTCTCAAGTGGGAGTGGGGACAATTTGGATTTAATGGCTGTTCCCTGATACATAGAAGTCCATATAGAAACAACTGCAGGCACAGAGACTAACGCATCTCTCGCACACGTGCACGTGCACTTCTGTGCATAAAAGCGTGCCCTCAATGCACAGTTTTCTATCAAGTGACTCCAACAAAGAATACCCCTCTGAATAAAACCAACCAGGCAGGAAAGAAATAGTACAAGCACATTCTGCTTTATCCAACGCTTGGAGAATGTATTCTGTTCATTACCGGATCCCTCCCCCGTGCCTTCTCCTCTCCCACCGATCGCCACACACGTGGAAAGGTGACAATCCTTAGGAATAGAAATGAAAGATTTCTCCTTTAGATAGAAGCCTCAGATTCCCTCATCAGGGGTCCTTCTCGGGCTGCCCCGGACCGGAGAAGCCGTGCGCCCACCCACCACGAGAGTGTCGCCCTGTCGGAAAAGGACTGCGGGTCCTGCGCACGCCTGGAGTGGGCCTTCCAGGGCGCGGGGAACCGGGCGCGGGGCCCCGGGGAGGCCCCCCTTTCCACGGGCCTTGCCCAAGAGAGCTGAGCGAGGGGTGCCCGGGAAGCTGGAGCCATCCTCCGGTGGCTGAAGGTCCCCTTTCCTGCTCTGCTCCTCCTGCAGGTCACTCCCGCCCCCGACGGCCCGGAGCGCGGATGGAGACGGTCCAGGAGCTGATTCCTCTGGCCAGGGAGATGGTGGCCCAGAGGCCCACGGGGAAGCTGGTGAAGCTGTACGTGCTGGGCAGCGTGCTGGTCCTCTTCGGCGTGGTGCTCGGCCTGGTGGAGACCGTGTGCAGCCCCTTCACGGCCGCCAGCCGGCTGCGGGACGAGGAGGCCGCCGTGGCCGAGCTGCAGGCCGCCCGGCGGCGCCAGGCCCTCGGGACGCGAGCCCCGCCGGAGAAGCGCAAGCAGCGGGAGGCCGTCCCCGGCGCCCGAGACCCGTCCCTCCGGGCCCCCGCCTCCTAGACTGCGAAGGGCGGGGAGCGCGCAAGCCAGACCAAGCGGGAGAGCGGAGCCGTGAGCTGTGAGCTGCTGGGACTTCATGTGCAGAAGCCGCTGACACCGAGAACTGACCGACGGCACGGATCCACCAGAAGGACTTTGGGACTGGGTTTTGCTGCTGTGCAGCACGGCATTGTGATGACATGTCCAAAACTGTGTATCTTTAAGCTATCTAAGTGCATCTACCATTTTGTCCTAGGGAGGAAGAAGGAAAAATGCTTTTTATATTATTATTATTATTATGGCCACCATTTTGCATTTTTAAATAAAAACGTTTTATACTGTATCTCAGTATCTAATTCTGGAGGGGCGTGGTGAGCTGGGGTGGGCAGCAATGAGGGTGGGCATGCTGGTGACAGGGGTCTGAGCACTGTGGAGGGAGTGGCTTCCTGAAGGTCAAACAGCTCATGCTTCTCACCTAGGAACCCCAAAATTGCTATTACCTGCTTGTAAGTATGTTGACAACTCATTTTTGCTTCATGTTAGGTGGGAAGAGAGAAACTTTTATAAGTTCCACCAGACTTAGCATTTTAAAATCAGAAGATAAATCAGCTTCTGACGTTGGATGAGTGAATGGGAGATAGTAATTAATTCTAGGGCAGAAAAGCTATTTGTCCCTCATAACTAAGCACCATAGGTTCCCATGGTTGGTAACTCTGTCCTCCCAACCCTATTTTAGAGAGAGAGAATGAGAGGAAGGAAGGGAAGGAGGAAGGGAAATTAGCTACCTGGTAGGAAAAGAGGCAAGCTCCCAAGAACACCTAATCAGCTAATGCGTCTAGCTCTACCCAGCCTTCCTCCCCATGAACCCAGATCACAGTAAGAAGCTCTAGATTAGAAAGAGAAAAGACTGGTGGTCGCAGGCCTGAGTTCTCTTTCTCCAGGGACAGAGCGTGTACTGAAGTAATAACTAATGCAGAGGTTGTATAGGGCTTAGCGAAGGAAAGGGCACGGGCCGGATGTCTCTCTCTTCACGTTTTCCATGTTACCTACCCTAACCAGGCACCGACATTTTACTCCTATCATGCATTTTTGCAAACATACCAATGGCTCATGCCATTGCCTCTGACCAGACTCTGTCCCCCAAACCACCCCCCTGCACACATACATACTCCTCCATTTCATTTCTGCCAGCTCAAATCCTACCAGCGTTCCTGGCCCTGATCAAATGCCATCTCTTCCCACCTGAATATCCTCCCACCCACGGTCTCCACATCTTTTGAAAGCACATACCTCAAATTCTCCAAGAGAGATACGATTTCAAATATTCTGCCCATTGTCAAATTATATATCAAATTATGTGCTCTAATTTTTGGTTTAGAAGGTAATGCCTCTATTTGGGGGGTTTCGCCTATATATAAAAAATATGGTTACCTAAATATATAGGTAATGGCTATATATTTTTGGTTAAGAAGGAAACCAAAAGCCTATTCATGTTCAAGCTACCCAACCCAATCAAATCTGAGCTATTCAAATCTTCTCTGTCCTCGCTGATCCTTCCCCATTTCTCTGAATTCTTTCAGGACATACAGTCTGGGTCTCATACTGGATCACTCAGCAATGGACTTTTTTTTTCCAGTTGTTTTGTCGACTGGTCAGGTCTCTCATAGTATAATCTTCTTGAGGTCAAGGACCATGTCTTCTTCAGTGTTCACAGAAATCATCAAGTTCCAGGCAAATAGTAAGTTTTTAATAAATACTTGATTGTTTAATTAATCCATTTATGAAGTTAGAGCAGTGGTTGTTAATGAGAAGAGAAGAAATTTTATCCCCACAGGGGACATTTGACAATGTCTGGAGACATTTCTGGTTATCTGGTGTGGAGAGGGGCACTACTGCTGGCATCTAGTGGGCAGAAGCCGGAGATGCTGTTAAGCATCTTATACTACACAAGACAGCCACCCACAACAAAGAATCCTCCAGTCCAAAATGTCAATAGGGCCAAGGTTGAGAAACTCTGGGTTACAGGAAAGTAAGGACAAAGGGTTTGCCTAAGAGCTTCAGAATCAAGGTTTTGAGATGGTCTTGCAAAACTATATCTGGTTGTGATCAAACACGATAATTTCCTCATCCAAAACAGGTGCAAAAATTGTCTTGACCCTATCCTGTTTGGCAATTTTATCAGCAACCTAGGAGAGATGACAGAAGGTATACTTATTAGGTCTTTTGGTGACACAAAGCTGAGATAGCAGAGTCAGGATTTAAAACAACTCAACAGGCTGGAACCATGTGCTGAAGCAAACCAATTGAAACTGAATAGGAAAGAAGATACACTACAAACTTTAGGTCCAAAAAATCATTTGCATTACCACAGAATTAGGGAGGCTTATTCTAGCAGTAGATCATGTGAGAAAGACCTAAGGGATTTTTAGTGATTACAAGTTCAAAGAAAGCCAAGGGCTTGGGACAGTGCTGCCAAAGCTAATTAATGCCTTATTAGTAGGAGTAGAAAGACTAGAAAAAGGGATGAGCAGGTGGTTTTGTTCTATTTTGCAATATGTCATGTTGGAAAACAAAAAAGTTAAGTCAGACTGCCTGGATTTGCTCAGGTTTCATCCTGACTCCCCTATTTGCTAGCTCAAATACCTTAGACAAGTTACTTAAACTCTCTGCCTCAAGTTACTTAAATTCTTTCCTCACCTATAAAAGTTAACCTTCTTCAGTGGGTAATTTTGCAGATTAAGTGAGATAATATCTGTAAAGTTCTTAGAGCGGTACCTGGCATATAGTAAGCTTTCAGTCAGTGATAGTCATTATTATTATAATATTTTAAGACAGACCTTAACAAACAAAAACCTGCTTTGATCAGAGTAACTATGGCAGATGTAAGTCCAGAAACCCTGTCATATACAGAAGAACTACAGAGAAGATATGACATTGTAGCTTTACACAACAATTGTCTCCAAATATTTGAAGAGCTGCCATATTGGGGAGAATCAGACTTAATTTACATGGCTCAAAAATGCAGAACTAGGACTAGCAAGAAGGATTACAAGAAGGTAGATCTTAGGTCATTACAAAATCAGAATCATTCAAAAACACAACAAATTGCCTTGTGATATATAGTAAGCTCCCCATTATTAAAAGCATCCAAGTAGAGGTTGAAGTCATCTGCCAAGTATGGTATAAATGGGAGATGAGATTTCTGAACGTGGAGGTCCCATCTAATTATAAGACACTAGAATTCTGTCTAGTACAAGCAGCAAATAGGGTACAGGGCAAAAATTTTGAGTTAGAATAGGAATGGCAGAACATGGGACATGTCGAAATTAATGCATTAATACATTTAAAAGGAACTCCAGAAAAATTAGGAAACAAAACCCCAAAGAGTCAATAGTTAGCTTCTTTCATTTGGTATGCTGAGGCTTCAAAGCAAAATTCTAACTTGACGATGGTCTCTCACAAAGACTCTGAAACCTTCTGAAACCCAGCCTCCTTCCATTTCTCTCTCTTTTTCCTGATCTTCTATATGAGCCACCATTTCTTCAGAATTTTCTCTGGAAAAGAACAACCACATCGTAAAATTGCTAAAATTCTAACTTGACGATGGTCTCTCACAAAGACTCTGAAACCTTCTGAAACCCAGCCTCCCTCCATTTCTCTCTCTTTTTCCTGATCTTCTATATGAGCCACCATTTCTTCAGAATTTTCTCTGGAAAAGCCAGAAGGCAGACATAAAGAAGCTGGATTTAAATCCTAGTCTGGAGCAATGTTGAGTTATAACTAAAGATTTTCCTAAACCTCAGAAGGCCAGGTAGAACTCTGTTACACAATTCAGGATTTTATTAGTCATTTATTGTTCTGGACTATGGATCTATACCAACTGGTTCAATTCATTGTTAGTCCTTCCACTGGAGAGAAAAATATTTAAAGCATCAGGGTAAGAAAGAAAAAAATTAAATAACTCAGCTGTGCAAAATGGAAAAACAAATGCCCTAGGAGGGCAAAAAAAATAGAAAATACAGTACAAAAAGTAATTTCAGAAAGCTTTCTTTTAAAGACACATTGGACAAAGATTAAAGATTATAAGCTAAATAAAAATGAAAATAGACCAGGAAACTTTTAAACAGTATTCTGGAGTAGACCCAGCAGCTGAAAGGAAATCTTATCTCTTTTCTTTTTAATGGGCTCAAATTTGAATTAGGGGATTTAATGAGGAAAAATTAATTGAAATGTGAAACTGACAGCTCAGAAAATATCTAAAATGTGGCTAGACATTTTCAGGGAGCTTTAGAAAGTAAATAAGCAAGAAATCAATAGAATATGTGGTTCTCTAGATAAAACAACTGGCCCCTGAAATAAAAACAAAACCAAAAAGTATTCTATCCTCTAAGAATTGGGAGCATATAATTAGGGATACTTGTAGATATTGCAAGCAGAAGGGTCGTAGAGAGAACCAATATCCCATATTGCCTAAGAAACAGAAGGATGACTATCCAAAATCTGCCCAGTGGTGCTTCTCTGAAGGAGACATTAGCACCCAGCAATTCCAGTCCTTCCTCTAAACTTGTGATCCCAAATCTCAGAGCAGCCAGTGTGCAACCATAAGCTTTGTCTAGTTTGCCTCACCACTCTATCCCCAGCTCGTAGCCCGGTGCCTGGCACAGAGGAGGTGCTCATTAGATATTTGTTGAGTAAGTGAATAAATAAATGAATGAAGAAAGTAAACTTTTTTTTTTTTTTGATACACTGTAGTCCATGCTTTAGTCCACAGGAGCCCAAACTTCTGAATTAGGATGCGACCCTTCATCATTAATTGGTGTGAATCAGGGTGAGATTATTGTTCTTACTAATGGATCCCTGGGGAATTTATAGCTGAAGAATATGTGGACACGCAGACCTCACAGTATGCGTTGGATAACTGCAGTCTCTCCTTGTGGGGAAGGAAAGTCTGCCCAAACCCAGTTCTTGTTTCAGTAACTTCCTTTGAGGCAAAGCCAGGACTGTGAGACTGAGCACCTGCTAAGGGTGGGACAGGGGTCGGCCTGGTATGCCTCTCCCATGTTTGGAGCTAACAATAGCAATGGATAAGTCTCCAGGGCAACTAGGACCACATCCGAGCATTCCCTTCCTGGGCTGCCTCCAGGGCTCCTCTGTCCTTTGTGGATCGCTGATGCCTGACGCCCAGGACTGGTCCACTCCGGCTTCCCTTTGGGGCTCCCTCTGCAGGCACCTCCTGGCTGCCAATTCCGTCCTAGCGTAAGGGCCTTCTTCTTTGGCCTGGGCTTCACCTCCTTGTATCAGGTGGCAGACCAGCTGGTTTCAGT